TTAACCTGCAAAGGGCGGTGATGGCTTATCCACATCATCCAAAAGCAGGGGCCTGAGATGGAATCGTAGTCACCTACAACGTGGTGTGGGATTAGCATCTCTCATATGGTTAGATTGGTGACCTGCAATCTTGCTTGGAAGCAGACTCTGTGTATGCCTCAGTTGTTAGTGGATTCAATGTCATGCACACCTGTGGTTGATGCACAACTGAAACGAAAAAAGCCTTGATAAGAGGTTGTTCTTCGAGTACTGCAAAGTCAGTGGTTTGTGACGTGAAGAGTTCTGCATTGGAGCTACAGAGAAGCAGGGGATTGAAGGGCTTCGATCCGCTCGATCCCATGTGCGGGCATGCCGCGATCAAGAGACGTGCTAACAGCTTTCGTAAATGGCTCCCGCTGATGCTGCATACGCAGCCTTTGCGGGCGTCCACGGCTCCCCACTTCGCCTGCATGCACTTGTATTCATCCTGAGTTCATATGGCCACCGTCACCATTCGATCACAACATACAGTTGTGCTTCACAGTTCTTCCAACAGGCTGTGGTAGCAGAAAACGCTTCGCCCGCCAACCATGAAACGCCCGCTGCTCTCCTGTGTGTTGGGCTAAGTTGAGGGACAGGCGTTGCCAATACGCGACAGCCAATCGCCATCCGGAAGACGAGCATGTTTGCCGCTGATTCTGGCGATCTTAACGCAACGGCAGTCGCTGCGCCTTCGTCAACCTACACCTTGTTCTACTCGCCGCTCCAGAACGCAGCCTGGCGTCCTCTTTTGCGCTCCCGCACACTCAGATACATCTACAGATGACACTCGCAGTGTTTGGGCCAAGTACAGAAATGAGGTGCCAGATATGCCCGCCCAGTGTACAAACGACCTGCAATCTTGCAGCCGTAGCCATTTCTCACAGCACCAAATCCAGCGACCAGGATATATGTCACGACGGACGAGAGAAAGGGACGACGACAAACGGTAAGGGGGAGGAGCAGCTCGCTGCCAAGCCCAAGACCTGTTTGACCGCCGCAGATACTGACTTGCGCAGCGACCCAAGGAGCCACCCATCATCGTGAGCACGGCATCACGTGTAGCGCTCATTAGCGCTGGGCTGTGCACTCCGCGCACTCGCATAAGGCAAGTGGAAGGTGGGAAGAGGTGCGCTGTTGGGGCTAACGTGGCACGAGATGGCGGCGCAGGTTTCCTTGGTTTTGCATGTGGCATCTGGGGGACGTTGAGGCATCATGGGCACGAGCAACGCAAACCAAAACAAGAACTTGGCGGGGAGTTGCAGAGGGTGGAGGGAGGGCGGGGGAATAGCTTGTAGATCGTGCTTGTAAACAGTTGATGCCGCTTTGGTGTTGTCTCGGCCCTCTCCATCAATTCTCACATTGCATCGAATTCTATCGTGGGAGCGTGCGACGATTCTTGGTAATGGTTTGAGGCACCCGCACTCCGATCGCAGAGGGAGTGACCACGGCGGCATAGATCACACGCGGCGAAAGTTCCTCAAAGGCAGATCTGCCAGTGGACAGATCCTTCTGGCGGCACCAGGCCCGGCGCGAAACACGTTTGGATATGTGCAACACGACGACACAACACATTCCGGACGACACAACGCATACCGAACAGCACGATTGTAATGCACAGCACATTGGGAGCAACACGATTGTAACACAAATCACAGTCCGAACAACACGATTGTAATACACAACAAATTCTGAACAGCACGATTGTAACACACAACACATTCCATAAAACACGACTGTAACACATCCAACGGCTCGTGTTGCACAATTTTTATTGTGTAGCGCAGCACACATGTCTTGGAGCACGTTCCTCCTGTGGAACATAGCCATAACACCCACTATATAATGCAATACATGTAGTGCAAATCCATCACTGCATTTAACACAAAAGGAACACGAAACTCAACACAAAACCGGAATTCTAAAAACACTTTTATTGTATTATTTGGAATACACAAGAATGTGCACAACACATTTAATGAACGTGTAGAACACCAAGAGCATGTGGGGAACACAAATTCGGCACAAAACCGTAAACTTTGTACACGATTTATAATGTGTACCCTGAAACATAGCAACACCCTTTGGAACACAAATTAACACGTTCTTGGACAACACGTTTTAGCCTATTGCAACAAAACACATTTTGAACACATTCGCTCAAGGGTAAACCACCGAAAAAGTGTGCAAAAGATAACACATTTTATCCATGTGTTACACACTGAGAGCACAAAAATAATACAAACCCGTAAACTTTGTACATAAAAATAGTGTGCTCTTACTCCATGAGCATATTTGCACAACACGTGTTGCAGTTCATGAACGTGTTCCCAATAACACTTTTTGGCAATTTTTAACACATTTTGAGCACATTTTGAACACGTTTTGCCCAGTTATAACACATTTTAACACGTGTTATTTGGCCCTTTTTTCCTAGTGGCCTCAACTTCACGCCGTGCTCCTACTGGCGCTGGATTTTGCATTTTTCAACTGCGGGGACTCCGCCTTTCCAATCCAAGCCCAAGACCTCGAGGTTGACGATGGCAAAATTATCTTTCGCGAGGTGCGTTTCAAGAGGAAGCGCGCAGACCGCCTACAGAATCGAGTCCGCGCCTTCGACCTGGCGGGGGTCCCTTCTCCTCTAGGTCTTGGAGGCCCACCGCTCTGCCCGTTGCACGGCCTTCGGGGCCCACCACCCACCCCTGGCTTTTTGGCAGCTGCCGGGCGAGCCCACCCCTCGGGCCTCCTAGGTCGCCTCCATTTGCGCCCAGGCCCAAGCCTGGTGGCCCGCCCTCTTCGGCAGCTCCATTCACCATCACGACCTACGGCGGGGTGGCGCAACCACCGCGCATGCCATCGGTGTGCCCCTCGAGACTATCTGCTACTTGGGGCGGCTGGAACTTCGGCAGCGACGCGGTGTTCTCCTACATCGACTTCGCGCATCAACCTACCTCCGAGGACGCCGCCTGATTCGGTTGGATGCAACGCGACGCGGCATTCATTGCCGCTCAGTTCGCCCATCGTCACTCCCCGGCCACAGGATCTGCTCCACTGCCGCCCCCCACAGGGGACACCGCCATGCCCGACGCCTCCACGCCGGATGCTCCCATGCTGGACGCCCCGAGGCCCTCGTGACCTCACCTGTCCGAGTCCCGCGGTCAAGCCCAACTTCCCGTCAGTGCAGACCAGTTCGGCGCGGCTATTGGCGGTCACTTGACTCCCCATCAGGTCCTACCGGCCGCCGCTGTCCTATTTAGGGAAGACATCGCGGGTAGCATGGCAAACCGGTGTGAGGGCGCTCAAAGGTGCCTGAAACAGAGTGTGTCTGAGTGTTGTGTTAGTTGCTGAGGTTTGGTCAAGCGCCCTGAGTGCGCCATCCCGTCCCGATTGATAAACTGGACAAGGTGAAGAATCGTTAAAAACGGGTGGGCAAGGCCCCCCGAGATTTAATGTCACTTTCAAGCAAGAGTACGCCACGCAGAAGAAGCCGCAAACGAAACCTACCGTATCCGCAGGCCGCCGCCTCGCACAACCGCAGGCCACACAAACCTCCCCCATCCCCTGTGTCAACCTCTCTTCTCCGCTTGTTCAAAGCGCCTTGTGCTGCGGGTACCCGCCGCGGAGGAGCGAGTCCCCGCGCCAGGGCGCAGACGGAGCGCGCTCCTGCCTCGTTGTCTCGGATAGTTGCGCCGGTGGCAGTAAGCCGGACGCAGGTGAGCCGCTGGGCGCGACCTGTGCATCCGCCCCAGCAGCCCCGGGCGTGGTGCTGATGGCCAAAGGGGGCGGGTGGGCCCCACGATCACCATGGCGGATCCCAAGATCTGTCGCCGTGGCGGATCAGGAGGGACGGAGCAGGGCGGGCCGTTTCCTGGACGCGCAGCGGTGCTCGGCGCGTTGCTCGCGATTGGCTGGCGTGTCGATGAGGGGTGCCGACGATAGGGGGCAGTACCTGGTTGGGTCCGCGAAGCACAGGCCGGAGCCCTGCCATGCAGCTCACCGATGCTTGTCTCCCCACTGTCTGGCAGGGCTTCCGGGCGTGTGGCGTGTGCTGAAACGACGCGCAGCCACGCCATCGATATCGTTGTGGGGCGTGGAGGACGCGATGGGGGAGAGTCGAGCAGAAGCGGTGAGTGGCTGTGACGGGCGCCAGCTTGGGGAGGAGAGGGAAGGGGAGGACGCTTATGCCACTACCAGGTGGTCCTGCCGATGAGCGCGCGGGTTTGCGGCCGGAGAATGCGAGGTTTCGGGCGCCCCGGACGGGCATGGGGTCTTTTGTTGAAAACGTCGACTAACGCCCGAGAATCGAGTGGGAATTTCCGGCTGCTGGGAATGCTGGGAATTGTAGTGGCGGCCCGATCGATAGTGGGCGATAGAGGCTGTGCTGCCCCGATTTGTTGCAAAGGACCCATCCCATTCGTGTGTAGTGCATATGGAATAGCAGCAAAAGTGCATCTTCCTGTACAGATCTGTACAGTCTACACTGCATCCCACTTGATGCCCATGGCAGCAAGGTGATGGGTTGGGGACCTGCAGTGCCATTGTGTGTTTCTGCTGATGTTACCGGCAACCCTTTGCTCTTTAATTGGCCGATCACTGGACCCCTTGCTGGAGTCATTCTCTGCCACAAATGTGATCGATTTTTGGACACTGTTGACCTTGGCAGTCATTGCATATCAGGTGCAGTGTGCTCCAGAATGGACAGTGGGGCTCAACTGCAATTGTGCAGCTGCATGCACAGCATTGACTACCAATAATTCTGTTTTGCACCTCAGCTGGGTCAGAATTTACATTTTTGTGATTGGAATGTGCAAGACCAGTGTAGCGTATTTCTGTGTTTGTGCTAAGAGTGCATTCATTCAAATTTGCTAAGGGGAGACGCTGCCTCATGCAGCTGAAGCTTGGATGGGCTCTTTCAATTTTGAATCTTGCATTATTGACAGGAGGGGCACAGGCTGCTACAAGGGCTTCAGTACAACCACCACATGCTATCCTTCCTCCACCAGCAGCTAGAGAGAGTGAGAGGCGTGCAACAACCGGCCAGTTCAACATCAGAAGAATGGCAGGTCTTTTGTGCCAGGGTCGCAAAAGCGCACAGGCTGCTGGCCAAGCATTCAGAGCCATTTGACATCAGAACATTTTACAAGATCGAAGATGTCCACAGTATCATTGACGAAACCTGCGACTTTCTGCGGGCGCAGGCACAAGAATGGCAGATGCAGTGTGCGACTGAGCTGGAAGACACTGTGCCATATGACAGTGTCGAAGAGGACAGGGAGTATTTGCACAAATTGCTTTCTTACATCCTGAAGGGCGAGCAGCGCGGTGTCAGTGATGAGTTGCTCAGTAGATGGATGTCCATCAAGCGCGCTCATGATGATGAGCTTAAATTCCTGCTGATCATCCCTCAAAAATCTCTTGTGCTGGAGAAGCCGATAGGTAGAGGTGGATATGGTCTTGTTTATGAGGCACGATGGAACTTTTCCAGAGTGGCTGTAAAGAGGCCACTTGCCGATGGTGACTTGCCCATCGAAGAGTTTGCAAGCCTTGTGAAGGAAGTGGCTGTGCATGCAAAGTTGAGCCACCCCAATGTTGTCCAGGTCCATGCAACCACACCATCTGGCTGGCTGGTCATGGAAATGGCAGACACAGATCTTGGAGCATTGTGTCGGGGCTCAAAGAAGATTGGCTGGCGAGGAACCCTCAACCTTCTCTTGCAAGCTGCAATTGGGCTGTGCTTTTTGCACAGCCTATCTCCTCCTATTGTGCATTCAGATGTCAAAGGATCAAATTTTCTCATATTTGGGACAGACCCAAACAACTGCAGAGTGAAGATCACGGACTTCGGACTTGCATTCGAAGCAGTTAATGGAAGGAGCAAGACAGCAAGACTGGGAGGAGGGACGCTGGAGTGGATGGCTCCAGAAATATACCAGGGAGAGCCCATCTCTCTCTCGTCTGACACCTTCAGCTTCGGAGTTGTCATATATGAAGCAGTGACAAGAGCCCATCCATATGGAACAGACAAACTGGTGCACGCCAATGTGAAGAATGCAGTTGTGTTAAACAAGAAGCTTTCGAACAAAGAGCCATGCACAGTGCACCCTGAGGATTGTCCTGAAGAAATGCAGCTGCTCATGAGACGGTGCTGCACAATCAACCCCGCAGAGCGGCCAACAATGATGGAGGTCATTCATTGTCTGCAGGAATTGCCCTGGGACTGGAAGCCTTCTCCTGGAAACTCAGACAAGGTGAATCTTGGCAATGCACTCTGTGTTGATGATGCTGACAAATGCCACTGCATTTGCACTGTGTTTCTCTGAGGCCACTGTTTTGCACAGATATTTTGCCTCTGGATGACCCACCCACCAAATCTAGATATGCTTGTTGTATGGACCTGTCATGCATGGTTTGAGCAATGCATTTGCAAGTTGACACATGCAGAAGATTTGAACATGCTGATGTTGCAATTGGTGCAATGCAAGTTCCATATCTGCAGTTTTAACCCCATTTTTGCATTCACATTGTTATGCGTGAAATCCATCAACACATAAATGCCTATTATTAACCCAGCGGTATTTAAAATAATCTGCCGTTGATCAAGCCAGGCCCGCCCAACAGTACAGGCCAAAGCACAGCGGCAGCCCGCAATGCATCGACAGGCCCAATGCCACGTTGGCATTCAAACACGGCCTTTTCACGCAGCCGCAAGCCTCGCAACGCTGGCTGCGTGCCCCTCCGACCAAGGGTAAACTTTTGACACGGGCGATTGGCGTTGCTTGCCTTTGGCGTCCCACAAGGTTTGCCGGCAACCACAGCAAAGTTGGCATGGGGACGAGAGCCAGGCGACCTGAGGTCGTGAATGCAGCCAAGTCAAGGTAAAAGCCAACAACCAATGACAAACCACGATTGAACGCACTGAAAGCTTTTGGAGATGGGGGCTGAAACTCAAGCAACAAAGGGCCTTTCGCAATCACGGCACAGGGCAGAGTGGCATGACATGGCAGAATGGCAGAGTGTGGCGCAGTGCAGCATGCGGATCTCCTACCTAAGTGGTGGGGGTTGCCATTTTGCCCACTGCAGATCTGGCCATCCCTGCCACCCGCGTCTGCCACTCCAGGCGCTGAAGCAGGTGGGCACAATAGGGTGCGTGTGGCGACGCAAGGTGCAAGAGCAGTGGTAGCCATATGTGCCGACATCCCACAACGGCGCGCGAGACTTGCCGCTGGGCATGAAAAGCACAACGGGGCTGGCCTTAAGCTGGGGCCACTACCCCCTCGTAGACCACTGAAAGTGCACCCACTTCAGACTATAGCAGAAGGCAAGCTCGCAGGCTCTACGGGCCACTAGAAGATCGCCCACTAGATGCTACAGTGCGGTGGTGATCTGGCCGGCCAGGGGAACAAGGCAGTATGGTGCGTCTGCAGGCCCGTCCCAATCCAATATGCGACCTGTCAACGGCGATCGGGGTGCTGCGTTATGGCCAGTGTTGTGCGTGCTGTCGATCGATCCCTCCTCCCCCACCCCCTCCCCGCCGGGCGCCCGCTCACACCACCCCAGCAGCGGGAATGAGCATCCATGAAATGCCAATCAGGGTGCGCAGCTCACGTGTCGCATGCGCCCATTCCCACCATGCGTGGAGGCAGTTCAAGACCACCATCGGAGGCAGGAATGGGCACCTGTGAGGCGCCCATCCGGTGGCATGCGTAGCACCTTGCGAACGCCCACTCGCACCATCAGCAGGGGCCGTTCTAGGCCACCATGGGCAGCGGAAATGTGCGCCCGCAGAGTGATTGGGCGCCACCGAGGCGCCGTTCGTGCGGAGCATCTCCCGCCTTGCATGCGCCCACTCGTGCCATCGGCACAGCCAATTCTAAGCGACTGTAGGTGGCACGAATGGCCGCCCATGAGGCACAAATCCCTTCCCTCACGTTGCAGCTCATGCGCACCCATTTTTGTCACCGGCAAAGCCCGTTTCAAGCCAGATGGGTGGGGTGATTGAGTGCCAACGAGGCGCCGATGGTGCGGCACAGCTCGCGCCTGGCGGGCGCCCACTCGCACTGTTGACGCGGCTTTGTCCAGGCGACCGCGGGTGGTGCGAATGGGCGCCCACTAGGCGCCCAGCCTCGCGCACCGTTTGCGCCTCGCGGACGCCCATTTGAACAACCAGCGGGTGGGCATTGTAGGCGACCACGGGAGGCCTGAATGGGCGCCTGCGAGGTGCCAATCTGGCAGTTCCTTTGGCGCCTCGTGGCTGCCCACTCGCATCGAGTATTGAGGCCATTCCAGGCCTCCGCGCCCAACGCCAATTGGCAACCGCTAGGCGCCGATTGGTATACCCCTCACAGGGATCGCAGGCGGCCACTTGGCCCACTGGCAGGGGGGATTCGAGGCCTCCATAGGCGGCGTGATTGCCCACCCGTGAGGCGCCAATCCGGCTCGCCTCTTGTGCCCCACAGGCTCCATGCTATGTTGGCCACGGCGGCGATGCATGCCGGGAGCATTGGCACCTCCGGGGCAGTCGCTCCCACCAGCGCCCGCTGGGTATCCAGGTGGTGTGAGTGGCAGTAGCGAGCTCCTGGGAGGCACCACACTGGTAAGTTGCGACGCCACTCCTGCCACCCGCCTGTGCCACGCCCAGGCCTCATTGCACAGGTGCTTGCCGGCCTGGCGCACTCGGCATACATTAAATCTGACCCGACCTTTAGCATTTACATTGGCAGCGCCAGCACAATGGCCAGGTATGGTGGGGACGAGTACGGTCGCCAGCCAGCTGCACCCGCAAACGCCCAAGTCGTTGGTGCCCAACGTCAAGCGGCCAGCTGCAAGAGTTCCCGATGGGACGAGGAGAGCCGCCTCACGTCCCATCCCCAGAAACGGGTCCCGAGAGCCCCCCGCTGACATGCTGCATGGTGCAAGATCGCCGCCAATAGGCCATTGACAAGACGCCGGCTGGACAAACTGCCAAAGGGCCATGCTCTGAGTTCGGGCATCGCAACAGTGTGCAGTGTGCAGGCGCCCCTGCGTAATGGGCATGGTGGCCGCTGGCTCGACGGGCACCAGAGGCATCGCAATAGTTGCAATGCCTCTGCGGGCCGCCAAGCGAGCTCTTTCTGTGCCCCACATTGAGATCTCTGGGTGGGCATAAGAACCAGGTAGCGGGGCAAGGCCCCACAGGGTGCTCCCCACATCAGCACCCAGGTTGAGAGCAGAGGAATGACGCCAAGGCAAGGGCATCGGCAGGTGGGGAGGGAGTGCGCATTAGGCGCCTGAAGCCTTGTTCCCATGGGGAAGGCACGACCCGGTGGGGCGCCATTGCGCGTTTAAAGGAAAATGCATGTCACTGGTGTGCACGAGGTGGGGGCCTCTGGGAAAGACGAGGGGGAAACCTGGATCCCAAGGCCACAGAACAGGTGGGGTGTGGGAATTTTAAAAACGGCATGGCGGCAAAGCCACAGGATGCGGTTTTTCATGCAGAAACAGCGGCACAACATGAGGTGTGGTCTCCGTCGAGGTTGCTCTCTGCAATGCCGTTATTGCTTCAACTCCGCGCACTGGCCCTGGGTTTGGCGGCGCAAAGATCGCGTCCACCATCGCCAACCGGTAACCGATCGACCGTTGTTTCTGAGATCGAGAACGATTCCCCCCCCCCCCCCCCTTTGCAGGTTTTTGCTTTGGTTTTCTAGCAAAACGCATCCCTATTGTTCTTGCCAACTGCCGTTCCATAAGCAGCGGTGCATGGCCGCATATAGGACTGGCAATTGGGGTGGCCGCAGCCCGTTGGCTGCATATTCGCCCTGCCGATCCAACCCCCACCCCACATGGCGATCTTCAGCTCCACACGTGATGAACCACAGCCTGTGGGGCTGCCGATCGGTGGGCGCTGGTCTTCGCCCCACCGGGAACTTCGCCAGCTGGCCGCTCGACGTTGGGTGCCCAACGATTTGCACGTTTGCATGGCACATAGCTGGCGACCGTACTCGCCCCCATCGTACCTGGCCATTATGCTGGTGCCACCAATGTAAATGCTAAAGGTCGGGTCGGATTTAACGTATCCCCGCTGCCTTGGGGCATGCTGCCTGGCTCCTCCGGATAGGCCGCCCCTGGCCTGCTGTACATCATGTGGGTGTGGGAAGCGAAGTCCAGCTGACTGTGCTCCAAGCAGCGCGTGGAGTTAGAAGGGCGGGAACAAGATGGGACAAGGCGGCACTATTCTTGCATGGCACCAGCACACAGTGCATAGGCGCCTACACTGCCTCACAAGCCCGACCGCCAAGTACGCCGGGTTAATCAGAGGACGCCGTGTGCACAGCGCATGCACATGTCCAGCCTTGTTATGGCTGTATCTATTAAAATGTCCAGGTTGCACGATGAAGCTGCAAACAACGATCAGTCTTCCACCCTTCAAACAACCACAATGCAATGTCCACCTTCCCCTTAGTAAGGGCAAACATGTTGTCAATCAAAAATTGTTTTCTACCCATTCCAACATGTCTGACTGCCACTCCCCCGACTCCCTGAGTCTGCATGTATTGTCCTTATGTATACAGGGCCTGCATTTAGGCATTTTTATGTACTTAATGTGCAAAACCACAAATAATATATTAATCCACAAACATATGTATATGCACTGTGTTTGAACCATAAAGACAAATTCTAGTGCAAATGCTTCTACCCTTGATTCTGTGCCGACACCTTCATCAAGGAATTTGGCAGCAAAATGCAATCAAATGTGATGTTTTTTTGACACATGATGGCATGCCTGAATGCAGGACAAGCAATTCATTCTTTGTGTCTTTGTTGTGCAATAGTGTGTACATATCCATGAGTGACTCAATTTTATATTTATCAAAGATTGGATCCAGCAACCTTCAAGGAGCAGCTGGGGAGCATGCAGCGAAGTCAGATCATCTGAGCAATCAGCTCCAGGGACTTGCACTACAGCCACCAGGATCTGTGGGGACACCAGATGCTGTGGTGCAAGACATTGCAGAAGATGAGGTGTGCATGGACACCTTTGTAGGACCACCATGTGGGAATAGTCAGCTGGTAAACTTGTCAGAATTTGCCAAATGGTTTGAATTTGCAGCTTCGTGTTATGAAGGATAAGCATGGGGAGCATACAATCTCCAGCAGGAGTTTGTGTGATATGAATGGATTTTGGAAGTGCAACAAGAACTGCAAGGAAAGCTATTTCCTAGTCAGTTCATGTACTGTGTATCTTCGAATGCATAAGTGCACCAGCAATAAAGTTATATTGGAGGTCAGTGCTACTGGCCATGTTTTCCAACAAAGGCAGCATAAAACTGCTACCGCTGACTGTTGCCTAATTATAATATATTGAAAAGCCCAATGGCCAGTAAACTGACTAACAGGATAAGTAATTGTGAAAACATACCATTCACAGGTACAGCTTAAAATGTTTACCTATTGCATGGAGTGGTGCTGATCTCAGTCTGGTAGCATTGAGCAGCACGTATCAAAGGTTTGTGACAGGTGACAACAATTGTCTATTGGTGATGACATCAGATAGCATGTCCAATGCATGAACGGCAGAACAAAAGTTAGAACAGTGACAAAGGACATATTGTCCACAGGGTACATTAGTTGGATTTGAGGATGGCGGCCTCAGATCCCAAAACGACCAAATCGTCACCAGTGGCCACAGGCATGCCTTCGCAGTAAAAGTTCTTTGAATGAGCGTCGTTTTTTCCAAAACTGATTTAATGGCTTGTAGTCGACAAAATTATCTGGGTCTGAATGTATTGAAGTGGAAATCTGTCGCTTTGTGAATTCAGACTTTTCTCTCATGTGAAAGCCGTCATATGCCCTGATTTCAGAAGAGAACTTCGTCACATCCATCGATGGCACCCTAGTTGGGGTCCCCGACAGTGTCTATTGGGATGGCACCTGTGATGCCCTTTGCTCCACCCTAAAATTTCTCAAAAGTGCTGTGGAGCTGGCCTTAGGAGCATCCCCCGCAGGCTCTATAGCTGAATCGGGATCATTTGGGATGGCACAGCTGATACGCTGGGCGCCCATGACAGTCAAAACCTTGGGTTGACAGAGGGTTTTGATCATGGGTCAGACTAGGAGGATCCCATCACGCTTTCAAGTTGTCTTACTGGAGGGTGTTCTGCATGCCCTCTGTGCAATCTAGAATTTGTCTGATGTGGCTGCCAATTCCACACGCCCAAATTTTGCTGCATCATTATCTCCAAACGAGGGCACGCCGGCAGTAGTCCGCCTTGGTCAAACACTTGGTCAACGGGCAGTTTGTGGTTGACGGGCTCTCGCTCGCAGTGCCATCTGGCCATGTTTCTTTCACACCACGTTTCGCAGGTCGCCCATCGCTGCTGTTGTTCCTTGCACATGCGCAGCACATTGTGTTACGATTGCAGCTGAGAGAACGTGGTCAAAGCGCTTGAATCATCATCCCAGGCATTATGCTTGCGAGAGAGTGTCTGTGACATTTTTTGGATTCTGGATAGGATCACTGACCCTTGGCGTCGCGTTCTGGATCAGTAATGTATCTATTGGACAATAGGGGATCGGGTAATGTGCGGCAAACGTCCCTAGAGGACTTCGTTGTTGATTATGGGTACCATACTGTGGGTTGCTCGGCCTTCCCTCCACATTACAGAGTGAATCGATTGAAGGCTGCAAGCGCCTGATGGTGGATGCCTTGCCCTTAGGAAACGCTCGTGCGCCTGGCTGAGTGCCAAAAACGAAAGATCGAACGAAGCAGAGATAGCATGGCAGCCTGAAAGGAGAAATTCAGGTCGCGCAATTGGCTGACCCAGCCAAGATAGGATAAGACCGGGAGCGTCGACTCAGTCAGATCGAGTCAACGCCCTTGAAGGGATCTGGCGAACGCCAAATCCGTTGTGCGTTCCATCATCACGAGTTGATGTGTTTGGTATCGACAGTTTTGGACTTCAAAATGGTCCCAGATGTTCAGAAAACAACTTAAACACTCTGGGCGTTTCCACACCTGGCTGTCTGCATACAAATTACTCTGTCGTCATTTTAAATAGCACATTCGTGGAGATCCGGGCATCTAAATGCCTGTACAGACGACCAACGACGATGGGCACTTTTAGCGAATGGACTGCTGCCAATTCGAAACTTTGGAGTGAATGTTAGCATCCACATCTCCATTGTTAAGCTGAAGAAATATCCCTATGCGCAATTGTAATAATGTACACAATGCACTTAATTTTAATGCAAGTCGATGTATTTTGGTGATGAAATATTTGGATTTAAATCGCCTCGGATATCCAAAACGCAACTTGAAATAGTTTAGGAAGTTCATGGTCTTTGTGACCACGGGCCCTTAAATATGTCCTCACATAGGCGTGCCACACATTAGACTACCGCCAGCAGGCCACGGGGGCTCTGCCAACGGGTTCATGTCAATTGTTACAGATTGGCGCATGTACAATAGACTCCCCTTATAGGCGGCCCCCCACAGGACAGCTTCATTATTTGCTGCCCAACAATTTGTCCCAAAACATGCACCAAGCTCTTTGAGTGTCCCCATCATGAGTCTGGACACCATTTCCTTTGCTCTTTGTGTCTCATTCCCCTTTCACACCTCTGCCCTTAACATGCGTGATTCTAAGCTCCCCTTCCCAGCTCATGACTGGCATGTTACTTAATTCATAATTTCTCTCTGATTCCCCCTACTTCTTATTTCATGTCTATCATACAGTTCCTCCGTCGCAGGACTTTGCAAGGCTTCCATTGCGTGCATCGCTCTCAAGTACTAAGCCAACGCCACATTCGCAGCATGCACAATTTATACATTGAACGTTCAAGTACATTTGGCCATGCGTCGCTAAATAGAAGGCAGTGTACTCTGTGCAAATGGATTTATTTTCAACTAGAGACAGTACTGCCGTTTCACTTTCTGCGACCTGTGTGGGACAACAGGAAGCGCATGGCCACAGTGGGCAAGCATCCAAAGATCCAGATTGGCGATGCGAGCACGTCCTCAAGGGGCAAGAGAGTGGGGCGCGGTCGCTGGTCGTGACCAAAGATTGGCTGGTGTCTGGATCCAATGACAAAAGAGTTCGTGTGTGGAGATTGGGGCGTTGGGAGTCCGCCCAGTCGGTGCTCGAGGGGCACACGGATCGTGTGGTGTCATTGGCAGCCAATGGCGAATATCTTTTCTCTGGGTCTTATGATACGACTGTGAGGGTGTGGAAGCTGGGGACCTGGGAGTGCGTGCGCGTTCTAGAAGGGCACACCGATTGGGTGCGGACACTGGCAGTGGCAAGAGACCATTTGTTTTCTGGTTCTCATGACAAGAGCATCTGCATGTGGAGTGTCGGCATGTGGGGGTGCGAGCGCGTGCTCCAAGGGCACGCCGATTACGTGCGCTCATTGGCCGTCAACGACCGCTTCTTGTTCTCTGGCTCTTGTGATCTGACCATCAGAATATGGGGACGGGGGGATGGGGAGTGCCAGCGAGTGCTTCGAGGGCACTCTAATTGGGTATTGTCTTTGGCAGTCAATGGCGATTTTTTGATTTCGGGGGATGCCATTGGAGTCATTTGCGTTTGGAGCCTTGCCGCGTGGGATTGCATCAGAGAGCTGAGTGGGCACACTGCGTGGGTGACGTCATTGGCAGTCGGGGGCGGTTTGTTGTTTTCGGGATCGTGTGACAAGACCGTTCGGGTGTGGAGGCTTGGCACTTGGGAATGCATCCGAGTCCTCAAAGGGCACACCGGTGGCGTCAATGCGGTGGCGGTCATCGATGAACGTCTTTTTTCTGCGTCTGGGGACAAAACCGTTCGAGTGTGGGACAGAGTGATGTGAGGATGGTGGCGACTTCAGTAGTTATACATTTGAAATGTTTTTTATTTGGGCATGCATTTCTTTTCTGTCTGTAAGCTAGTTGAACAAGCGTGTACGTTGGAGTAGCGAGATGATCTACTTAATGATGACTCAAATAGACATGGATAGAATTGTCGAGCAGGACAGTCCTGGTTAATCAAATTCAGCCGAATTTCTACTGAGAAATGATTCTGCTTTGGGTGAATTTCTTTCTCGCCAGGTGGCAAATTGCGGCTGGCCCAACCTACATCATATGCCATGCTGTGAACGACGCGATTTTATAATAGAACTGTAGCGCGATCGTTGCTCTAACTCGCTGTATATCCAGCTACCACACACCAGGAAAACTAACTTACCGTATGGCACTTGCACAGCAAGACAGGCACGTGGCTGAAGGCAACCGATGCCAACAAGCACAGAACACGTCCAGCAAGCAGTAAATCAGCAAGCTCGTCAAAGCTCCAACCATATAGCATATGGCGCATTGCGTTCTGCCGCCCTCTCATTTTCCCGTTTGTCAAGGGACCCGTGCCTCCTCAGCGATCGCCTTGGGAACCGCACACCACCTCAGAAGTAATGGTACAACGCAGGGCGCACAAAGATATCCACCAGAGAGCCACCAGTTGTCGAGCCGCGTTCGAGAGCCGCAGACTCCAATCTGTCACTTGCACAACGACGCAGCGACGGCCTGCGGCTGGCGGTTGCGCGCTTTGGCCCGTCGCCGCAATTCGCCCGGGTCCGGACCCAGAAAGAAGGCGCCCGCTAGCGCGATCGAAACTGGCCAGAGGCCGCGACGCCACGCGGCAGTGAAACGGTGCAGGAAATACAACACCGGGCGCCGTGGCGAGGGCATGCCGAGGGAGGGAGGGAGGGAGGCCAGGCCCGCCGTACGGCAGGAGCCATCCGCGGAGCGTCTCGTGTTCGCCAATCCGACCGCTGCGCATCAGACTCGCCCCCCACGTCCAAAAACGCGGCAGAAGGGGGGCGCGGGGTCGGAGGGATCCTGTGCCTGCGAACGGGATTCACTTGGGAATGGATGGCAGCGCGATCCCGAGCAAACCTAACAAGCCGAGTCGCTCCTCTGCTGAGGTTCGCCTGTGCCTCCGCTTTGCAGCATCCTCAGAGGATGGCGATCGTGGCGAGCAATAAACGAGGCAGAAAAGTGGCAGCACAGCACGGTATCTGGGAAGTGGCAAATGCCGAAGGACTCACGATCTTGCCAAGACGCGGTGCGGCGCGGCCTTCAGCGCGTCGAGGAGGTGGAGAGGCCACCCAGTTCACGAGCTTTGAGCTGTCGCGGTCGCCTCACCGCACCCTTTCGGCGACGGCGATTGAGGCCGGCGATGAACGGGGCACGCTGGATGCTGCTCAGCCCCACTCCGAACGAGCGCACTGGCCCACGGCACGGCCGTGCAGGTCTCCCGCGACGGCGGACGGGCAGTGGTGCTGGCTACGAAACTGCGGCAATCGGTTGCAAGACCCGACGCCATCGCCTCTTCCTTCAAATAGCGCGTGGGGGCTGTGCCAGCAACCCGTATGTTCGAATGCCAGCAGCGCCTGCCAGCCTGGCAATTTCGGATTGCACACCTGTCAGTCTTTAAACACAAAACAGAGCTGCGATCCCTTAGTAGCCACCGCGCGTCCGTTAAATAGCTGTTGCACGTTCAAATGCGTGTGAGTGAATAAACAGAAAAGTGCATCTAAACTTTCTGCTACATCGAAGAAACAAAAAATCATAATAATACCGTCGTTGCCTGATCCAATACAAGTCGAACGCGGAAATCCTTGTTCATTCCCTAGGCAAGAAACAGACAAAGTTTCGAACATTTCTTGGGTCGGATTGCGGGGGCGTGGATCGCAATGTTCGAAGAGGGCGCGTACATTATGGAAAACCTTTCAATCGATTATACGGTCATTATGTGAAGTAGCTGAAGCGCGTGATATGAACGATATGTTATCAGACCCCGTGCACCTGCGACACTTTGTATTATTATTGTTGTCCATTCCGAAAAAGCAACAAAATTGTGCGGCGGTGCAATAAACTAACCGTCGATGTCGACCATAGTTTTGGCAGCCCAATGAGCATTCAGCTCAGGGTTCGTCATACCAGAAATCCGTGAACCTCGCCATCGCGCGCTTTCCGAAGGGGCCGCCGCTATGAGCGAGGTCGCTGTGGATACTCAGGCTACCATAGAATTTTGAAGAGAATCTGACGGTGACCTCGCCGCGCAGCAGACAACAGATCGGTACAACCGGTTAAGCTGGACACATGCCACGAGGAGCATTGCCACCGCGGACATTTGTCATAAATTCATTGACAGATACTGCTGGGAGAAATTTGTGAATATGCCCTCGAGCAACTTAACTTGACCTGCATGCAAGCTCTCGCCGTCTTCGATGGAGCGTCCACACCGTCCATCATTGTGTTTGGTGGGATTCATGCCGTTTTGTAAGGAGGTAATTAGGGTACGCAGCAAACAGATATCTTTCAGCGGACCCAGCTGTTCTGCGGCTAGTCTCAAGACCCCAAGAGACATTGTGCAACAGCGTATCCCATGCGTGCCCTTGCCCATCCTGGACGGTAGCAAGGATGTTCGCAAATCGCCGATGGTAAGATGGACAGTTATGTACCATCTCTGCCTGTGGTCTGCAGCAATGGTTGCTGATCGTTGAGCTATAGCAGGCCATGACCTACAGCGGCCATCCCCCTCGGGCTCTAGCTAGAGTCCGAGCGGGGATGGCGCTGTACCCTTCTGGTGTAGAGGAAGTGGCACCATTGCCGTGTGGGGCCATCCCGAACACGGCCCCAAATTTTTGGCTGGCGGGGCATGCACTGAGAGAGGGTCGAATTTCGCCCTTGATTAGGGTTCCTTCAATGCAGCTCCGAACGCCTTGTGCTTATCCGTTCTCTGCGATTGTTTTGGCAGCAACGGATAGACACATAGTAGGTGCTCCTGCTGGATTTTCAAAGAAAAGAACCAGAACTTGATACAAATACAGTATAGCAGAAATTCGTTTTGCTTAATTCCTGACACAGGAAAGTATGTGGGTTCAATTTGACATCCGCAATTGTATGCGATCCAACAATTTGTTGAATTCACAAAACCTACTTGAAAAATCATTCTGTTCCCTCAGAATACATGAGACCCAGATAGTGTTTTGATACAAGCTGTGAGCGCGGCTAAAATTCGCTGTGCATAACACCGCCGTGCAGAGCAATTCGGACGACAGTACACATTTTTGTTCTAGCCCGGCTATTTCTTCAAAACTGTTCCTATGTTGAATGCTGCGACGCGGAAAGGCGACACCCCGATAGTCACCGCGGCCCAACAGCGGTGGTCATCAAAGGACAGGACGAAGCACATAGCCCAAATCAACAAGAATGGTATCCAATTACATCATATTAAATCAACACCTGACAGATGCGTTGTATCCTTTTCAATTGAAACATTGTGGGGGAAGTCGTTCATCGCAGCAGCAAAATCTCATCATTCATCGCTGTGGAGGAGACAGAGCAGGAGCGGTATTTAAAATTCCTCCACATGTCTCGGCTCCGCGATCGCCGCTCCCCGGCACGGGGACTGGGAACGGACTTTGGGATGCCGCGCTACCAAGCACTTGCCATGTCTGCGAAAAGTGGAGTCGGAGGTGGGATTCGGACCCATGACCAGGGGATCACCGGAAAGGCGGACCGGTCTCAACCAACGCCGCTCGGTTTCATCAGCACCGCCCCCTTTGGGTTCCTTCCGGGTTACGTGACGAAGCGGCGCTCGTAACGTGTCTGAGGACGAATGCGTCGTTTGCCACAGCCCCGCGACGAGCACAAGCGCGTCGGTGGCAGACGCCGCCAAAACCAATAGAGAACTTTTGACTGGGCCAGGGCGGCACCAAGGGGGCACTCTGGGGGTCTGTGGAAGCGTTGAAGACACAAGACCCTGTGCGGGTTCCAGATGGCTTTCATGGCTGCACCATCCTCGTTGCCGTGACTGCATGTGGGTGTCCTGGTCCAGTAGGTTTTTGTGTTGTGAGCGTGCCCCTGGTTGTCCTGGCGACGTCTTTCGCCACGGAGCTGTGTTGGTAGCCCGAGCCCTCGAGTGGCTGGGAGTTTTCTGTATTATATCGTGTGTTGGTCGTCGTCCGCTCCTGCTCCTGTGACGTCTTTGTGTCGTCCCGGCCCTCGCAGTCGTCTTAACCTTCTCGTGGCCGCATTTCCCATACTTTGTGATGTCCTGGCGGTCTCCCACGTGGATTCCTGTGACGTGACGGCCCTGCTCAAACTATTGTCTTCGACTGGTGCCGTTGACGCCTTTCTGCTTTGACGTCTTTTGTCAAGCGTAGCCAGTCGTCGTTGCCATCTGTGCACGGCGACGTTTCCACATACGACAGCGCACAACGCTATGGTAAAAGGGGACGTCTGCGCGGTTTCAGAGCTGCTCAGACGCGTCTGAGCACATCCGAGGACGCGATTAGGACTGCCCGAGGCACTGAAAAAAGCGTCCGGAGCGTCCGCGCACTGAGCGGAAGCATCCAATTGCTAGTACAAAAGAGTCCAAGCCCGTCCGGAGCGTCCGAAGGCGCGGAACCCAACAAACACACGGATACTTTTTCTATCCGCGCATGGCGCGGATGCATCGGACACTTCTTCTATGCGCTCGGGCGCTCTGTGCGCGGGCACTTTTGTCGCGCGCGGACACTCTTTATCGTCTGGGCAGCGCGCGGAAACTGTCCGGGCAGCGCGAGGACGGTGTCCGGAGGGCGCATGAACGCTGCCCAGAGGGTGCGCTGACACCATCCGGGGAGCGCGCGGGCGCTGTCCGTGGAGTGGGTGGATTCAATGGCGACCTTTTTGATTCTCTTCCTGAAGGGGCTGGCAGTTGCCCTCCCTCCCAACTGCGTTTTTGATGCTGTGGTATTGTGGTGGCGTATGGCTGTGGGTTGAGCGCGAGGGTGCCAGCGATCCCCTATGCGATTTTATTGCATGT